TGCACTACATAACATGGTAAATGCACTACATATCATGGTAAATGCGCTACATAACATTGCAAATGCACTACACAACATGGTAAATGCACTACATAACATGGTAAATGCACTACACGACAATGTAAATGCACTACACAACAATAAATGCACTACACAACAATGTAAATGCACTACATAACATGGTCAATGCACTACATAACATGGCAAAATGCACTACATAACATGGTAAATGCACTACACAACATGGTAAATGCACTACACAACAATGTAAATGCACTACATAACATGGTCAATGCACTACATAACATGGCAAAATGCACTACATAACATGGTAATTGCACTACACAACATGGTAAATGCACTACACAACAATGTAAATGCACTACATAGCATGGTAAATGCACTACACAACATGGTAAATGCACTACATAACATTGCAAATGCACTACATAACATGGTAAATGCACTACACAACATGGTAAATGCACTACACAACAATGTAAATGCACTACATAACATGGTAAATGCACTACACAACAATGTAAATGCACTACACAACATGGTAAATGCACTACACAACATGGTAAATGCACCACATAATATGGTAAATGCACTACACAACATGGTAAATGCACCACATAACATTGTAAATGCACTACACAACATAATATTTTACGACTTAAGATAGCTGTGGCTTTCCATACATGCACTCAGTGCTATGCGGAGTTTGCTTATCAGCCAAATATGTGCTGTTGCCTCTCAGAAAAAATAGATTGCAAGATAAAGTTGGTGGTAGTCTATCTGACCAAAGACATTAGAAGAGAAAAACAAGTTCAGGGGTACCAATGAAAGTGTAGCCTTTTAATGAAAATCACAGCTTTGACACCGTGCAGCATAGCTTGGTCAGGAAAAGCTTAGCTGCAGGAATGAAATCCGCTAGTTTTGACATCGAGAACTCAAGCTTTGAACATATTTTGGTGTTGAGGGCGTAAACAACATGGCTGCCTCCGAAAGCAGTATCAGCAACGGTAAGTAATTTACCCGTCTTCTCAACAAATCACCAAGTTATGCTCAATTTCATTTCTAGAAAGTTCCAACCACCATTTTACGAAACTTGCAGAGAATCTCAATTCCAATTTTCGAAGCGAACAGGCTAGCAGACGTCCCATTTTAATACATGTAATGTGTACATG